CCCTGTCGTAAAATAAGAACCATTCTGATCCGAGAAATGCCTTAATGAGTCGCTCATCTCTCTCGGTTGGAGAGTGACCACTCGGGATCTTTTTCTGGCTAAGATGTATTCATTGAAGTGAGAGGAAACTGCAGATGAACTGGAGGCAGACAGTTTATCTAGAGAAGTTGAAGAAACCTGACCCCAGATCTNNNTCCGAGTAGAAATGTGTTGACTGGCTCGTGAATTGTTTGTCAAACAGTCTGGCCTCCAACAAATGTGAAATATATGATAAGGATAATTTCTATAAAGTGGATGAAACGACCTGGTAGTTCGTTACATAATGGCATCCGAACGTTCTAGTTTATACGTAAGTTTAACACGAATCTGTATACCATGATACGTGATAGAATTCAGAGGTTTAGAATGATCTGAAACTGTTGCGATCGGACGACAGGATGATATTTCAGATATTTCAAGATAGTAAGCAAAATGTGAGCCTTCCAGAAGTGTATTTGATCAAAACGTGTGCAAAACTGGTCCCTTCAAGATATTAGGTTATTCAAAGAGTAGGATTTCACTGTGGTTTCTGTCCCCCCCAGCCCTCGGTCAGATTAGTATTTCGGTTCTATTCAACTTTCCGTTTGTACAAGCGTCAAATTTGCACTACTGTATGCTGGGTTTTTGTTGTTGTTTTCCAGCCGCCCATTCAATCACCCAATGAAAAAAAGTCGCAAATTGGGGCCGGTCGGAGAAGGTTTAATCATAAAGATCAGTGACATAGTAAGGGCAATGAGTAAACCCAACCTCCTTCAGTGGATCGTACTGAAGACTCTTCCATTTTAATTACGTTCAGGTTAGGAATGTGAACGAACCAATAAAATATTCTCATTTCCCCCATGTTTACATTATCAAGTAATCATTCTAAAACCCATAATCCATTGGAGATTTTGTTGTTTGATTATGCGGATGAATCACGCCAAAATACCTCCGAACCATCCTCAGACGACTGATTCGATGTTCGATAGTGTATAAATATTCGAGCTTTTTCAAGCACTAGAAAGTGTGAAGTGTGGTGCATGTCTGACGTAGCTTATAAAAAAAAATGCACTATTGTTCGCATAATTTTCAACCATTCATCATNCATTAGTCCCTGCCCCCACCCCGCTCTTATAGTGTACTTAATGACTTGCCTACGCACCGCTACATTCTACGCATTAGTTCATTTGAACTTTACCTCATCAATCCAGCCTGATCTAGTCCCATGTTTGTATGGCGATTGTGAAAAGTTCAGTAGCCTCGGTGGGATTCGAACCCACACATGGATCCCGCCTACGCTTTGTACGCGCACGCTCTACCAGCTGAACAATTAAACCTGCTTTAGAAGCTCGTTCGGTGGACTCCGGCGAATTCTGAGGAAAACTTGTCGAGTAGCCAGCTTATATGCTAATTGGTGGATGCCATATACCTCTGTAAGTTGGATGGGTAATTCAAATGTGAAAAGAGCAGTGTGGCCTCGTACCTCAGCTGTTAGAGCGTGCGCGTACAAGGCGTAGGTGGCGTTCATGCGTGGGTTCGAATCTCACCGAGGCTACTGGAATTTTCACAATCGCCGTACAAGCTTCACATATGCCAACCAACTTGTTGAACATTTCCATGTCGTCCATTTGTGGCGAGACTCCCAATCAGTTCGAACCTGTCCATCACCCCAATCTTCTCCATGTAAATGCTTTATACGTTGACCTTGGAAGATTGTAGTCAGTTCTCTTCATTCGTGGTTCTATGGTTACTTGCACACTCTTGGTCTGCTGATTGCATGAACTGATCTCGCGTTGAAAAATCCCATCGCTTTCCTTGCTTAAGTAGCTGACATAACCCGTGATGTCTTACGAACAAGAATAACATATGCACGAGTTTATCTACTTCCTGAGAACTGTGTTCGTGCTTTCCGCACTAGAAGGAGATTCAATCAGATAATGGAGTATACGTGAACCGTACTATATCATCGGTTCAATCCGCTATATCCCTCCCTGGATGTGATCGGCCTTGTGTAAAATGTGGAGGGCTACAACCAAGGACAGTTCGTTATCTGCAAAGTGATCAGATTGTAACTTCATCGTGCTTAAAACAGGAATGTTTCTACTGCCTAAAAAAAGGTGTGTTGAACAGGTGTGATCTGAATGCATGATTACTGCAGATGCATCGAATGACTGAATGCCTTGCAAAGATGCGCCTAGAGTGAAAGTGACATCGGTGTCTCTGAAATGGTACACAATGGGGTAATATTCTACGTAGCAATCAATGAAGCACAGTTCTCGATGAACATATGGACGTATTCTGGTCGAGTGAGGTTCTTCTTTTTCCCCCCGACGGTGTCTATCCTATTTGCATAACTTTGTTTTTTCTGGAAACTCACGTTCGGGCCGAATCCAATTGTACGCTTTTGTCCCCAGCCGAGCACAAGTAAATCCCGTGACAGCATGGGGAGATCTGTCGATTTGCGGATAGTCAAAATGAATGACAAATGTAGAAGCTTGTTGTTCTTTTATTCGGCTATCCAGACCAATCAGCAATATGCATTTTCCCACTGTTAATAACAGGAGTAAGTGTTTTAATCCAGTTGCCTACAAAGAGTGGTCAAGGTTTGTTTCTAATGTTTACTGGTTCAAACAAACAATTATCGTCAAAAAGACAGATAAAGCTCTAAATTTACGAATGCAAAACAGACAGGAAACAAATATTTGTGGCGGAACGCTGCAATTCAATCTTCCTCCTCTTCCTCCATATCTTCGTCTCCTTCCTGTTCAGCCATGGCTTCTTCCTCTTCCATGGCTTTTCGGCGAGCCATTTCTTCCGCTTTACGGCGTGCTTTCTCTGCAGCCTCGGCTTTTTTGACTGCCAAATTTTCCGCCTTCTCTTCGGTCTCAGTTAACACGATGGATGCAGTTTCTGTCCGGATTTGATCGCTTGCTTTGCGCGTGGTCCAATCGACGGCCGCTTTGATTCGAGCACGTTCAATGGCTGCTTTACGCGCTTCTTCCTCCGTAATGCGTCGCGCTGTCTAATTTTCAATTTGGCATGAGTATAGATATAAGGTGGGTGTGGGTGGATGATGGAGTCCAGGGGGTGTTCTGGGGGTCAGCAGCATCATATGTCTTATCAACAAATGTACAGTGAAATAAAAATAAAAGTAATGTTATTCTGGTGGTTGTTGTTTATTTTTCATGTCACTTTGTTCTACATTCCAACCCAACCCATTATCTGTTGTCTTTGTTGTTGCGATAGCAACGTGCCTGTCCACGAGCGAAACCTATATGTAGCTCTATTGAAAACGACAATACACTCTTCCATTCTCAAGTCTATTTATTGATAGACAGTGAAAAAATTATTTATTTAAATCAAATCTTTTCGATGCCGTACTAACTCGCGAAAATTGCTTAGAATTTTGACTATCTAAGTGAACCACGTGTTTCGCATGGGACCAGGATTGTAGCCAGTGCTGATTGAATTCCCCTACACCCACAAAAATGAAAGACGTACAAGTCATCAGTGATAAAACAATTCATAAAGTTCATTCTTCTGTATCCAGGAGAAAACTAATCAAAAGAACGGTCTATTTCTAACGGTGTTAAGTGCTGAGTTGAGCACAGTATGATGCCCACAATAGCCTAGCAAAACTGAGCGCCTAGACGCGGTGGAAAGCAGTTTGACCACCTACCTGGTGGCCATACAGTCATCTGCTAGCGTTCTGCCTGCGAGATACCGGATTTGATCCTCAACTGTCTCGATGAATTGACACCAGTAATGAGATATAAGCCAATCGAAAAAATAATTCTCTTCTTTTCAGTTCACGTTTCCTTTTCTTTGTAGATGACGAAATTCGTTATATAAGTTCATTTAGCTGTTGCTATAGCCCCACTTACGGTCAGAGCGATTTCCTAGAACAACGATCCAATTCAAAGATGTTTTACCTAGTCAAAATTCTGCTGCAACATCACGTATGTGTAGTAAGAAGATCTACGAGTAAAACCGTTCTAGAACAACCTCACCTACATTTGGTTGCCATCTTATTTGTTCTCAACCCGGTCGAAATGTATACGAGAGAAGGATTACCAACCATTACCAACCATTTGAACAACTGCTAAATGAAACTTTGTATTTAACTGTGATAGCAATCATTGTAATGAGCGATAAAGGGTAAGGGATAGCTGTTTTGGGACTCTCCAACTGTGCATGATTTTGTGACCCTGTCAGGACTCAAATCGCGAACCTTCAAGTTTGGGGTCGATACACTTACCTCGGAACTACGCAGCCCAAGACCACCAGTGTCTATTGTAGTGACATCCACTATATTCTCTTTGCATGTACCATGTCATTTGGCGTCCTATTTTTGTTATGATGTTGGCACCGGTCTTGTTCGCAGACCGGTGGTATATATGTACACCTTAGTAAGGCCACTCGTTTGATGACCGCTTGGTTGCTTTCACTTTCCGTACGCCTGTGTGCTTCCTCTCTTTTGGTTCTACACGTTTATACACAATAAAACCGTCGTGAACTTTCATGACGTTCTTCGTTCTGCTCTCATACTAACGCTCGTTTGTGTTACCGAAGTTTCGCTGAAACCGCGCCTAAATTGGTGCTTATGAAAATCTAAATTAGCTGATAATTTCTATTCACACTTCACTAAATGCATTTTAAGAGTAGTGAGTAAACGAACGGTCTATAAGTGAAATCCCTCATGTTCAACAATATAATGATATTGTATCAAGAGTTCACAAGGAATTACAGGAGATTTACAATAAATTATTAGTTTTTTTATAGAAACATAATGCTATATATGAATTTTCTTCTCGCACCCGTAAATTATGCCACACCAATCAGTGAGATCCTTTATTCTATTCATTTATCATTACAATCACAAATTTTTATACAGTATACTGTCAAACGCATTACCTCCAGAGCTTCTTGTTCCATACGACGCGCTTGTTCTGCGATCACACCAACATTCCACGGAATTTGTGCGGCAATCAGCAAATCGATCTGTTCTTCTGCAATTTTTTGCTGTAGAAAAGTGAATATGTACGGTAAAAATACACGTCTGCTTACTCGTGAGTAGCAATTCAAGGAACATAAAATTATAGAGAGAATATGTATGATTCAGTGATTCAAATACGACTGTTTGCTGCTACCTGAGCAGCATTCACTTGTACAACATTATCCGAGCAACCTGAATTCAAGTAATATTGTACGAGTGGTACAACTCTGGTTGACCGGGATCAAGGGATCATAAACCCGATGGATATGGTACTGTTTTGCTAATAATCTGTGATAGTGCCAGGTCGATTTTTAAAACCCATCAGCCTTACCGAGTTGATCGAGTAAGCCAAAGTGGGAGAAGTCTGGGAGCAATATCGAGATGTAGTTCTGAGATGCAATTAAACAAGCTATTCGCTGAGAATTAATGTCCGCCGGTTACGAATTACAGGTGTATCATTCACTATTCATTCGACTGATCTCGAGGTCGCCAGCCACGAAACTTAACACTAAATGTATTTATGTATATAAAGAATTTCCTTGGTCAGGGTATTCATTTTCACGTTCCAGATCATAGTCTGACTTCCATTTAAATTTATTCCAGCTACTGCCTGCCTCGAGATACATCCCAAGTTATTTTCTCAACTTTATTTCCTTATACTGAGAACAGATTGTTGCATGTTTCAGGGAGGGGAAGCGGTTAATCATAGAGCTGCCATATAATAGGAATACAATAGGAAAGCCAGGCGGTGGTGGGATTCGAACACATGTCCTCCAGGGTGATAATTTGGTGACGTTAGCACTAGGTGACCACTGCCAGTCTCGTAGCGTGCACAGCACGTACTTCAGCCGCCAAACTTTGTGGCGATCAAGTGAGTGCGTCAGTGTGCGACATCCTAACGTGTAACCTCCTATAGCCATATCGCAGAGCTGGCCGAACTACTGCAACATACACTCGACTCTTCACAGAGAGCCGGATGTCGCGAAGGTGCCACCAATGTCTCTAGTTGGCAAGTGCCAATCGGGCCTCGTGATGAGTCCACCAGATGTTATTTACATATACATGCATATTATTCAAGAGAAAGGGGTGCAAGTTTCATTGGATTTCCGCCATGGCTAGCATAAACATAATTTGCTAAAGCACACAGACACATATGAATTTCCGGCTCAGGTACAAACTGAAATGGGTTAAGTTTTGTAAAGGCCTCACATAAGTGGATAATACTACATTCAAACTTCACCGACATTCCGGTTTTGCGTTGCACTATCGGTTAGGTAACCTTGAGGACAGATTAAAATTACTAGGTGTTCATAATCGTAGATGACTGGGTACACAAGACCACAAGACCAAAGAATACCACTGGTGAGTAAATAATAATTTTCTAAATGGGAATAAATTTGAAAAGTCAGTGGCTTGATGATTTTCAGAATAAACCGATTGTACTATTAGAATACAAATTGGAAAGCGAGCAATCGTTTTTAAATGATGCTCAATTTTACCTGTACAGATCCTATAGGGGTTGTAGTTAGCGGGGACATTTTTCAAGCGTCGTTTAAAACGCATTAAACAAGAAAGATCTGTTTGTTCTTCTTCTACAGATCCAATTAAGAAGATCAAAAGAGTCAAGACGGGAACATTATATTGGTCGAATGAACTTACTCGGCGATAGTTACGCACATGTTTCACCCAGTATCGAAGATAGTTGGCCAAAAAATCAATCGGATCCAACGGTTTATAGAGCAACAATGCACAAAGACCATGATGCAAGGGCTCACCGAGAACACGCCGTATGTAATCACTTTCCACGTGAACAAAGTCTCCTCCGGTTTTTTCGTCTTTAGACGCGTTCATCGCATCAGACCGTATGCATCGATTTATGCGGTTAAATGCACCCAGGCAGCACATGATCTCAGTTGACACACGTGACGTAAGTCTGTCTATGTACGGGTTCAGTCATTGTGGTCTAAATTATCTGAGGCCAAGTTAAGAGCGTCGAAAAATTTTTATTAGGGAATTTAAAATTTCAGGTTGATAATGTGAATATGGACAAAGGGGATACTTTCAAAACTGTTAGTGTAACGTTAGGCACGTTGAGCAGGTTGCCGTAATTTTGGATTGAGTGTGAGTCATGTGCATGTCTCACTGAGCCTTTTGGTTCATGGTGGGTTTGTATTTTCCCTGTTTTGCAGGTTGTTTGGAAATGCCCCTTCCACGGAGAACCTGTTGTCCGAAGTGTCTCCCACCCGTGCGTTGAGAGCGTCTGTACTGGGCCGCATTTACCACACCCTAAACAGGGTTTTGTTAGCGGCATTCTGATAGCGCTATCGGCACCAGGAATTCGGATCGTGTTACCCGAAATCAACCTTCTGCCGTGTATTACGAATAGGTGGCAGCGGTGGGCTAAGTCCTCCACGTTACAGTTAGACATTAAATTTGGTGAGCTATTTTATTCGATTAGTGAGTCTGATCCAATTCATAGATAGTGCACCTTGTTGATTGTCATGCAAAAAAGTTTTGAACAGTTTTATCTAATACACTACAATGTTATACGGAAGACAGTCGGCTTTACACTTGTACTGATACTGATACTTCATGATGTATTCACGGGCTAAGATTGATACACGGGCGAGAGAGGTTTTATCACAAAAACTCGCGAAAGACAAAATATAAATGCCTTCTTTTGCCTATTAGTAATTTAAAATGGCTTCCCCTCATTTC